CTCAGTGACACCCTCCCCCAGAGGTCCAAGTGGGTCTAACCCACTGGGTTCTCTGAAGTGAAGGGTTTAGAAACACAGCCCCATTGGAGATAAAATTCAGGAAGGAGGAGCTGCCTGGAGGGCTTAGAAGTGTAGAAGTGGGGAGTGGACGGAAGCCTGAGACAAAGGAGGGGTTCTTGACTGTAGGTTGGTGAGAGTGTAGAGTACCTGTGCCAGAGACTAAGAAGCTGAGTGAAGCCATTTTCACCTCTCCCATGCATGGCATACTTGGACACACACACCTGTGCCACACCAATTAGCCTAGTAAGCTAAGCAGCACCACCTAGTAGAGAATGGAGCCATTACACCAAGCGTCACCCAATGGTACCCTCTATGCACAAGCCCTAGAGGAACACCACGAGTCTCTCTGCTTGCTTAGTGTATGGAGTATAAAGTGCTTCACCGTTTGAGTTCTAGGGGAAACTGGATGTCACTTCACTTGGGTATCATTCTGTTTGCTGGTCCATCTATTCTTTTGGGGTTTTTTTTTTTTTTTTTTTTTTTGCTTTTGTTTAAATTATTTTTTTTTCTTTTCTTCTTTCTTTGTCTTGGATACAGAAAGAGAAAAATTAATTTTATTTTCCTTATTTAATATTTTTAAATTCCTTTTACTACATTTTTATTTGTAAATTTTTTATTCTATTTCATTTCATTTCATTCTATTTGATTATATACATTTATTTTAATTTTTAAACTTTTTCTTACTTTTTTTACTCTTCTTTGCCTCTTTTCTCTACTTTATCGTTTCTGTCAAAAACTAGACTTATTATATACATTTATTTTAATTTTTTAAACCTTTTCTTACTTTTTTTTACTTTTCTTTACCTCTTTTCTCTACTTTATCAAACTTCTTTCAAAAACCAGACCAAAACACACATAGGATCTAGCATCTTTTATTTGATTGTTATTAATTTTTTTTATTTTTTTTACTTTAATTTATTCTTTTTCTTCCTCCAAAATGACAAAACAAAGGAACTGACCTCGAAAGAAATAACGGGAAGAAATGAGAGCCAGGGGCTTAATCAACACAAATAGCAAGTTGTCCAAACTAGAATTTAGAGAACATCACCAGAAACTCCAACTCTACAAGCAACAGAATGGCAATAAATTCATATCATTCAGTACTCACTCTAAATGTCAATGGACTGAATGCTCGAATCAAAAGACATAGGGTATCAGAATGGATAAGAAAACAAGACCCACCTACATATTGTTTACAAGAGACCAATTTTAGACTTAAAGCCACCTGCAGATTGAAAGTAAGGGGATGGAGAACCATCTATTACGCTAATGATCGCCAAAAGAAAGCTGGAGTAGCCATCCTTATATCAGACAATCTGGATTTTAAAATAAAGACTGTAACAAGAGATGAAGACCATTATATCATGATTAAGTGTCTATCCACCAAAAAAATCTAACAATTGTACACATTTATGTCCCCAACCTAAATGTTTATAAGCACTCCAATATATAAATCAATCACAAACATACAGAAGCTCATTGATAACAGTGGGAGACTTCAACACCCCACCTGCAGCAATGCACAGATCATGGAAACAGAAAATTAACAAGGAAACAATGGCTTTGAATGACATACTAGACAGGATGAGCTTAGCAGATATATTCAGAACATTACATCCTAAAGCAGTAGAATACACATTCTTCTTAAAGGCACATGGAACATTCTGCAGAACAGATCACATACTGGGACACAAATCAGCCGTCAACAAGTACAAAAAGATCTAGATCACACCTTGCATATTTTCAGACCTCAAAGCTCTGAAACTTAAAATCAGCCATAAGAAAAAAAAAAAATGGAAGGACCACGAAACTTGGAAATTAAAGAACACCCTACTAAAGAATGAATGGGTTAACCAAGAAATTAAAGAGGAAATTAAAAAGTACATAGATGCCAATGAAAATGAAAACATGACAGTCCAAAACCTCTAGGATGTAGCAAATACGGTAATAAGAGGGAAGTATATAGCAATCCAGGCCTTCCTAAAGAAGGAAGAAAGGTCTCAGATATACAACCTAACCTTACATCTTAAAAAGCTGGAAAATAAATAAAGCAAATAAAACCCAAAACCAGAAGATGGAAAATAATAAAGATTAGAGCAGAAATTGATGATGTCAAAATTAAAAGAACAGTAGAATAGATCAATGAAACCAGGAGCTGGTTCTTTGCAAGAATTAACAAAATTGATAAACCACTACCCAGATTATCACAAAGAAAAAGGAAATGACCCAAATAAGTAATATCACAAATGAAAGAGGAGAGATCACAACCAACACTGCAGAAATGCAAACAATAAGAGACTATTATGAGAAATTATATGCTAATAAATTGGGCAATCTGGAAGAAATGCACAAATTCCTAGAAACATATAAACTACCAAAACTGAAACAAGAAGACATAGAAAATTTGAACAGACCTATAACCAGTAAATTAATTGAATTAGTAATCAAAAATTTCTCAACAAACAAGAGTCCAAGGCCAGATGACTTAACAGAGAGAGTCTACCAAATTATAAAGAAGAGTTAACACCTATTCTTTGGAACCTGGCCCAAAAAAATAGAAATTGCAGGAAAACTGCTAACATCATTCTATAAGGCCAGCATTACTTTGATTCCAAAAGCAGACAAAGATCCCACTAAAAAGGAGAACTACAGACCAATTTCCATGATAAACATAGATGCAAAAATTCTCAACAAGATACTAGCAAACTGGATCCAATAACACATTAAGAGAAGTATTCACCACAATCAAGTGGTATTTATACCTGGGATGCAGGGCTGGTTCAATAGCCACAAATCAATCAGTATCATACATCACATTAAAAAGAAAGAATAAGAACCACATGATCTCCTCAATAGATATAGAGAAAGCATCTGACAAAATACAGCATCCCTTCTTGATAAAAATACTCAAGAAAGTAGATTAGAAGGATCATATCTCAAGATCATAAAAGCCATATATTAAAGAGTGGAAGTTTGACCTCTTCCTTGCTGTTTTGGATGCGTTTTCTTTCTTTGTGTTGTTTGAATGCTGAGGTCAGGACTTCCAACACTATGTTAAATAACCGTGGTGAGAGTGGACATCCTTGTCGTGTTCCAGACCTTAGAAGGAATGCTCTCAGTTTTTTCCCATTGAAGATGATACAGTGAAGGAAATAATCAGCAAAACTAAAAGGTAACTGATGGAAGGAGAGAAGATATTTGCAAATGACATGTCAGATAAAAAGTCAGCATCCAAAATCTATAAAGAACTTATCAAACTCAACACCCAAAAAGCAAATAATCTAATGAAGAAATGGGCAAAAAACATGAAAAGACACTTTTCCAAAGAAGACATCCTGATGGCTAACAGGCACATGAAAATATGCTCAACAACACTCATCATAAAGCAAATACAAATCAAAATCACAAGATACCACCTCACACCTGTCAAAAGAGCTAACATTAACAACTCAGGCAACAACAGAAGTTGGTGAGGATGCAGAGAAAGAGGAACCCTTTTGCACTGCTGGTGAGAATACAAACTGGTGCAGCCACTGTGAAAATGGAGGCTCTTCAAAAAATTAAAAATAGAACTATCATAAGACCCAGCAATTGCAGTACAAGATATTTACCTTAAGGATACAGGGGTGCTGTTTCAAAGGGGCACATGCACCTCAATGCTTATAGCAGTAGTATCAACAATAGCCAAAGTATGAAAAGGGCCCATATGTCCATTGACAGATGAATGGGTAAAGAAGATGTAATATGTATATATATATATACATATATAATAATATATATGTATGTATATATATTATATATGTGTATCTATAATAATTATTATTAAATAATTAAATTAAATACTATTAAATATTATTATTAATATATATGTTTATATATTACATCTTCTTTACCCATTCATCTGTGTGTATATATATACACACACACACACACACACACACACACACACACAATGGCATATTACTCAGTAATCAAAAATAATGAAATCCTGTTATTTCCAAGAATTTGAATGGGACTAGAGTATATTATGCTAAGTGAAATTAGTTAGAGAAAGACAAATTCATATGACCTCATTCATATGTGGAATTTAAGATACAAAATTTAAGATACAAAACAGATAAATATAAGGGAAAGGAAACAAAAATAATATAAAAACAGGGAAGGGGACAAAGCATAAGAGATTATTAAATGCAGAGAACAAACAGGGCTGCTGGAGGGGTTTTGTGGGGGTGATGAGCTAAATGGGCAAGGGGCGTTAAGGAGGATACTTGTTGGGATGAACACTGAGTGTTATATGTAAGAGATGAATCACTGGGAATCTACTCCTGAAATCATTATAACACTATATCCTAACAACTTGTATGTAGATTTAAAAAACAGTAATAATACAGAAAAAATTAGAGTCTCCTATATGTAGCATATGGATGGGTCTTCTTTTTTTATCCATTCTGATAGCTATAACTTTTGTTGGAACATTTAGTCCATTTACATACAGAATGATTATTGGAAGATACGAATTTAGCACCATTCTATTACTTGTCAAGTAATTTCGGGAAATTTTCTCCATTCATTTCTAGTCTTTGTCGCTTTTGGTCTTTCTTTCCCAAAGAATCCCCTTTAATATAACTTTTTTAAGTTCTATTTATTTACTTTTGAGAGACAGAGAGAAAGAGTAGGGGATAAGCAGAGAGAGAAGGAGAGAGAGAAAATCAGGCAGGCTCCATGCTGTCACTGTCAGCATGAAGCCCAGTGCAGGCCTGATCCCACAAACCATGAGATCGTGATCTGAGCTAAAATCAAGAGTTGGACACTTAACTGGCTGAGCCATCCAGGCATCTCTCACTTTTCTTTTTATATTCTCCCTAAACACCATCAGATGTGTTTCTGGCTTCACTTGTATCTATTATGCTCTATGTATGAAAATGACTGTAGAACATTACCTGGGATTGAGAAAGAAAAGCAGGTGATGCATCATTTACACTTGGTATCATACTTTCAGTCTTCTGAAATTGACTTTTAATGTCATATTTTCCAGGCCCCGGTACTCCCTAAATTACAAAAGAAAAAATACACTTTCTCATTAAGAAACCACCTATAGTACCTAAGGGAACAATTGGCTAAATATATGAACCAAAGTTACAGGGTTTTTAAGCAAATTCCTACATGAAATTACTAAAGCACTTCATTAAAAGGCAAGCCAGAACAAACTTAAGAGAAACAACAAAAAATTTCCCTTAGCAAAGTTCCTAGGAACCTGAAAACATACTACTTGAAACTTTGCTGCCCTCTACCGATAGAGTTCAGAAAAAATTTATCTACTTCACATAATTAAACATTACAATGAATAAAGGTGGTTTCTATATTTCTTCTATTTAAAAGTATACAACCAAATCTTCTCTAAAAAAATATTTTTACTGTATTTTCAAGTTTCTGTTAATCTATAGATTACCTTTTTTCCAACAAATAAGCTTCAGGATATATTTTATTCCAAATACAATGTTAGAAAATGTAAGACATTAAGTTTAACTGGATACCTTATAATGGATAAAATAATTCAGCAAATACTCAGACTGATTTTTATTATCCTCAACATACTTTACTTTATATATTTATACACATATATCAGTAATTTAAATACATGTATTATATGTATTTATAAAATATATACAAGTACTACTTATATATCAAAAAGTACTATAAATTAATGATGAAATATTTTAATAATCTTGATATTATTTAATACTTTTCATCATATTAAAAAGTTTCAAATATTGTTTTATATATACTTTCTCCACTTTTTTACAATGGAAAGAATTATTCCTTAATTTATGAATTACATACTTGGATATATAATATAATTCTATCAAGAAATCCTGTCATCTCTATCATTCTATGTCCAAAACCAGTCCTACTTCTCCCCACCTCCACGGACATCACTCTGGATCCAAGCCTCCATCTCTTACCAGGATTATTGTGAAATCTTCCTAACTTCCCCCCTGCTTCCACCCTTATCCTCCTTCAGTCTGTTTCTCAACATGGCAGTTAGTGATGGATCCAGTTAAGATCCTGAGTCAGACTGTACCACTCCCCTTCTTGAATCCATCCAGTGGCTTCCAATGTCACGTTGAGCAAAAACCAAGGTCCTTAATATGATATGAATTTCACCCCCAGACTCACTATCAGCATTCTAACCTAATCTCCTATTACTTTCCCATTTCCCTTTTTTTAAGCTTTATTTTATTTATTTTGACAGAGAGAAAGAGAGAGAGAGAGAGAGAGAGAGAGAGAGAGAGAGAGATATCAAGCACGAGCAAGGGAGGAGAAGAGACAGAAGAGAGAGAATCCCAAGCAGGCTCCATGCTGTCTGCACAGAGTCCGACGCAGGGCTCTATCCCACAAACCGTGAGATCATGACTTGAGCCAAAACCAAGAATCAGGTGCTTAACCAACTGAACCACCTAGGCACCCTATTTCTCATTTCCAACACTCTGTTTATCAACAACATCAGGCATATGCCACCTCAGGACCTTTGCACTCTGTCTGGGATGTTCTCCTAGGTAACTCCAGGGCTCACTCCTTCATTTCAGTCATAACACTATTCAATGTTACCTTCTCAATGAGTCATTTCTAGGGCACCCAATCTAAATTTAATTGTCTCCCCTAAGTAACTCCTACCCCTTTTCCTACCTATTTGTTAGCCTCATAATTTTTTACTATCCAAAATATAATTTTCTGCTACATTGTAAGCCCCAAGAGGGCAGTTATGTTTTTGTTTTGTTTCCTATTGTATTTTTTGAGTACAGAGGACTATGTGAAACATAGTAGGTACTCAGTAAATGCTTGCCAGAAGAATGAATGAATGGATAGATGTATGTATTGAATCCTACATTTTCACTGATCATATAATGGATTTGGAGATAGGTTCCTCTGGGAAATAATGTGGCTCCAAGTGAGAGAAATAGCTATTTCTAACAATATAAAAATATCTTAAAGCCTACATATTAAATAATAACAGTAACACTTGGGAAATTTTTATTTAGGAGAAATTCTTATACATAAGTACCTCTTCTTATTAATAAGTTTGATTCTATAAATTTATACATAGGTCCATGTTATCTTGTCTCAAATGAACAAATCTATGTCATTATTTGGCGGCAGATAAAAAAGATTTGTTTTGGCTATGGAATGTAAGATTGTTTTTAAATCTACAAACTTATAGGAAGTTTAGAGCTAAAAAAATACTTCTACATAATTCTGTTTATATAAACCTATGAGATACATATCAAATATAGAGAATATAACTTCAAATATACATTACTAACCTATTTTTTTAATTTTACCAATATGCTATATCCATCATCTACATATAGGCAGGCTTGGTATAAAATAATCAGCTGCTGACAAATCGGGATTACCTTCCTACTGATATAAACAGTTGTGTAAGTGGTCATTATCACTTATGGTCATTACCACTATATATGGATCACAGGGAAAAGACTAAGTGTCAATGAGATAAGTGAATATACTTACTCTTGGAAATTATTTTGCATAAAAGGAGAGACGAAATTTTGACCTCTTCAATGAATATCTTTTTCCTTTTTTACTGTTTTTTTTTAATAAAGTTCCTAATGCTACTGAATTTATTTCACTAAAATAAGATATAGCAGTAAAATTAGCCCTTGCTTCTAAAAAGTTAGGCTTAGGACAATTAATTTTTTTTTTTAATAGAGGACTATGAGGCACTAAGCACTCAGGACAAGCCTCTGTTTATGACAATATAAAGGTGAAAAGACTTTGAGAAGACCAAACCCTAGGCACAGGATGAAAATGTGATAATACTTACCTGCATTTTTAAATTGTTATCAACAGACTACCCACATGAGTATCAACCTATTAAATACATAGTTCCCTTCACCACAGCATCTCATCTGAGATCTAGAGAGTCAGAATCTCATTGAGTAAAGGAATCTACACTTTTAACAAGACTCACTGATGATCCTTATGCATAATAAAGAACCACATCTCTGTCCAAAAGAGGTCACTATTACAGCATCTTCTGCTAAACACATATATCCCAAGGGAGAAGGCCTAGATCTAAGGAATATTCTGCCTTGGGAACATAAGTTAAAGATTATTAAGGCAGGTTGTTTATGACATCTTTTAATGTGAAACCTAATAAAAATGGGCCTCTTCTTTTAAATAAAGTATAATCATCCATTTGATCAGATGGCATGCAAGGATTAGGGAGACTAGGGGAAGCCATACGATTTTACCTTTACTCCTCTACCTTGGAGTCACCATCAGAAGTATTTATTCTTTTAATTAAAAATACTAAAAGTTTAGGGACACCTGGGTGGCTCAGTCGGTTAAGCATCCAACTTCAGATCAGGTCATGATCTTGTAGTTCACGAGCTGGAGCCCTGCATCAGACTCTGTGATGACAGTTCAGAGCCTGGAGTCTATTTTGGATTCTGTGACTCCCATTCTCTCTGCTCTACCCCCGCCCACTCATGCTGTCTCTCTCTCTCAAATATAAGTGTAAAAAAATTTTTTTAAATACTGAAAGTTTACTATGTGCAAAGCACTGGTATATACTAATAAATGAAGCATGGGGTCTACTTTTGAGAAGCTCACACTTGGTAAATGGTTCTAAAACTAGTCTGCACAAGAGGATCGTTTGGGGAATTTATAAAAATAACAATGACTCATTCCACCTTATTCAAATTAAAGCCCAGACAATTTTTTTTTTAATTTAAAGCTTTCTGGTTGATTTCTATTTATTTATTTGTTTGTTTTTGCCCCTGCAAATAAATCTTTATTTTCGTGGTTTTACACAACTCCTACATCTACTACAGAGACTTAGAGAATCTGAGACTCTACTTTCACAGCATTATTTTAGCTTGTCTCTCTAGAAATTTTACTTTATTTTTTGTTGTTGTTATTGTTATAAGTAAAATCTACTTACATAAGGATTTTTATTAAAAACAACAAATGACCCTAAATCTCTAATGCCCATTAAATCTTTCTAAAATCTAAATTTTGAGGGACGTCAGGGTGGCTCAGTCAGTTAAGCGGCCAACTTTGACTCAGGTCATGATCTCGTGGTTCCTGAGTTCAAGCCTTGCATCAGGCTCTGTGCTGAGAGCTCAGAGCCTGGAGCCTGCTTCAGATTCTGTGTCTTCCTCTCTCTCTGCCCCTTCTCTGCTCACACTCTGTCTCTCTGTGTCTCAAAAATAAATAAACATTAAAAAAATTTAATAAAGAAATAAAATCTAAATTTTGAAACTTTCTTGAAGCTTTTTGAATCTTTTTTTAATCATATGTTATTTTTTTTAAGTCCAAGTTAGCTAACATGCAGTATAATAATGGTTTCAGGAGTAGAATTTAGTGATTCATCATAAATGCCTTCCTTCATGCCCATCACTCATGTAGTCCATATCCCCACCCAACATTCCTCCAGCAACCTCGGTTTCTTTTCTGTATTTAGGAGTCTCTTTTGGTTTGCCTCCTCTCTGTTTTTATATTATTTTTCCTCCCCTTCTCCTATGTTCATCTATTTGATTCTAATGTGCAGTCAAGATGGAGACCTAAATCAGTTTTAAAATCACATTGCTAGGCCTCATCCGGGAGCAGTCACTTTCCAATGGTTCTGTAACCACTGTTGTTTCATAGAGTTTCAGAGTCCCCTTCATGTAAATAAGGACTACAGTGAGACCAGGTTGCCAAGTACTTCTTTCAGCTTGCATCCCGTAATTCTAACTTCTGTAGCCATATTTTTAATTCTCTAATTCTCTAAATCTCTGTCCATGCTTGAATAAACCTCCATATTTCCAAGGATATTAATTATAATTTTATCTATAGTTCTGCTCTCTTTATTGTCTGTTTCCTTGGAGTTTTATTGATGTTGGGTTTTTTTGTTTGTCTTTCTCTGTGTTTTGCATTGGAGGATTTCCTCAAATGTCTGGTGATCCCTTGTTCCCCGTTCAGATTTAAGAATAAGCCACTAAAAGAGTTGATTGAAAAATTCATATATGGATAGATTTGATTG